CAGATTCTGAACCAGAATACTATTTAATTCAGCCTTGCCCACACTGGTTCTAGGAATGTATCCAGGAAGTCACTAGAACATGCTGTTTGAGGCAAAAAGTGTGTGCATTCCTCCATGCAGTTTGGACACTAATATGGGAGGAATTTGGGGTGGCTTCAAAGGTATCAGTCCTAAATCTAATTATGTCCCCATGCCCTTCCTTGGAAAATGTAGAAGACTCACTGATATTTTTTTAACAGTGTTGGATTAAGATTTTTCATGAATATAAACTTGTATCAAAAAGAATATATTCCCCTGGAAACAATCCCCTAGGACTAGTAAACATAAGCAGACTAGAATACTGTTATTATACATAAAACATTTTTATTATATACAAAACAATGTAAAGTCATAGTTGCCAATTCTATAACTAGTGTTGGCTTTCATATGCACCAGGTTCTTTTCAAGTATCTAGAACAATGATGGCTAACCTTTTTGCCATCGTGTGCCAAAATTGGGGGGAGCGCGGTGGGGTCACATGCACGCGTGCCATCCATAATTCTATGCGCCCTGCCCCCCTGCTCCTCCCGCTTTTGGCACACAATGGCATGGTGGGCCCGGTAGGCCCGTTTTTCGCTCTCCCCAGGCTCCAGAGCCTTTCTAGGAGCCTGGGGAGGGCGAAAACGGCCTTCCCCACCACCCCAGAGGCCCTCCGGAGGCCAGAAACAGTGTGTTTCCTGACTTCTGGTGGGCCCAGAAGGCCTGAAAATCAGCTGGCCGGCACATGCATGCGTGCTGGAGCTGAGCTCGCATGCCCACTGATATGGCTCCATGTGCACCTGTGGCAACCGTGCCAGAGGTTCGCCATCAAGGATCTAGAATGTCATTATAGTATAGGATCCACATAGGATATGTGTGGATCTAAGTAATGTGGCCTTTTGAAATTGACAAATGAACATTTTGTCAATATGCAGATTTTCTAAGGGTTTGGTAAAGCATCCAATGTTCTGATAACCACTGGGACCACCAAGGCTGGTTTATGCCATAATCTTTCTATTCTGTTTTTCAGATCTTGATACATTTTGATCTTCTTCAATTCTTTGTCTTCTATTCTACTATCCCTTGGGTAGTACCACATCAGTTATTCACACTTTCTTTTTAACCACAGTTAAATCTGGTGTGTTGTGCGCCAAGACTTAGTTTGTATTCAGAAATCCTACAATATTTTAACTTCCTCATTTTTTACTAGTTTTTCAACTCCATGTTCCCACCAATTTTTCATTACTGGCACATGATATTTTTTCCAGATGTTCCAGTGAGTAGTTTTTGTGACCACATCATTGTTTATAATGAGTTTCTGCACTGTTCTTGCATGAGCTGAGAATGTGATCTACATTATTATTGTAGTTGGTTGCATAATCAACTAGATGTTTAGACTAGATTTGGCACTTTTCTCCACCTATCAAGTCCTTCTCAAGGACCCGGAATACGCAGATGTTGTTACATAATAATATTAAAGGTGGTGTTGCAGGATGTAAGCTGTTCCAAGTAAAGCTGCCTTTTGCAATTGACTGGTGGTGATTTTGTCAGTGCCGATAGTGCTCAAGTGGTGGTCCAGATGTTTTGGGATTAGACCCAAGGGACCTAACGCTATTGCTATGATTTTTGCTTTAAAGCAAAAAAATAGAATACTCTTCTATTCTGCTGTCTCCCGGTACTGTAATGTTCTCCCTCCAGAATTTTTTGTCTTTATCAAAAATTGTTAAGTCTGGGGTGTTGTGTGGCAGATGCTTGTCTGTTTGAATTTTGAAGTCCCACAGCTCTTTATTCTTCATTTTTTATTACTTTATTTATTTTTGGCCCCATCAGTTCTTGCTTGCAGGCAAATAGTATTTCTTGCATAGATTCTAATGCACCCTTGTTGCTACTTTTTCATGCCATTGTTTGTAGTCATTCTGAGGAAACTTCTTGCAGGAGCTACAGCTTCTTATTATTTTAAACTTGTACGCTGCCCAACTCTCAACTTCTTTGGATGTTTAAACTAGTTTTGCAATGCTGGGAAAGGCTGCTCCATTTATAACATGATCCACATCCTTCCAATTTTTCATATGCTGCTGTTACTTAACTAGAAGCAAATTTCAGTGGGAAAACTCAGATATTTTGTTTGGATGTTTCTGTCCTAGACGTAGTTGTCGAGTGGATTCTGCTGCACCAAAGGCTTCAGCAGCAGCAGGGGTGTGGTCCTCCTTATAAAGTCAACCTGTTGCAATATTGTAGATGACCCTGTGACCAAAAGGGAATTTTGGAATTCTAAGTCTGCATGTTCCTCTTTTTTGGCACCTCTGCAGTCCTCTTTGACTGTGTTAAAAAGCAAATAATATTGTTTTGTGCCATTTTGAGATGCCAAGTAGGTAATCACTAGGTAATTGTCCCCCAAAATAGGTATAAGTCTAAAATATTTATTTATTTATTTATTTATTTATTAAATTTATATCCCGCCCTTCTCCCTGAAGGGACTCAGGGCGGTGAACAGCCGAAAATTAAAATAACATACAATATAAAAGTTAAGATAATTAAAAATAAATTAAATTAAATGGCCTCCCAATTTAAACCCCTAGCTATACAATTAAAACTAACCCATAAAACCTATTCAGGCCAGGCCGTATATGCAAGATATACGGAGCCTATTTTACATAATTACACAGTTCTTTGCAGTCCTCAGTTCTATAAAAATGATAAGAACAGACTCTGATCAATCAAATGATTGCCCATACATGCTGTTGATAGTGGTCACCATCTACCACATTTCCCAAGCTGCTGCTACAACAAAAGTCTCACCCATACCGCAAAGAAGAACCGGTCCTAATTCTTCCTTTCCTTCTCACATGATCTAAATTTAGATTGAAAGCTTTAGGGAGGGAGGCAACAATCTGTTCTTTTCTCATGCAAATCTCTGTCAAGGGCCGGGATGTGCACTTCATCACTATTGTCTCATGCTAGCAATGATGGCAACTCATAGAAGAACAGGGAATGCTGTAGTAAATAATCTGTCTCACCTACATACTTGTTCCTTATGTGAAATTTCAGATATCAAACTTGTTTTTTTTACAACTGTGCAAACAATTATAACTTATTTATCTCAAGTGGACCTTGGTACTATTATTCATGTCCTGAAAAGCCTGTAGCCAGAATCTTATTGGAGTTTCGGAGAAAACAAATCGTCAATGCTTTTGGCTTTTTTCATTATATTTATTTATTCATATAATACACACACTCACACATACACGAGATAACAAGCTGCCCTAATGATTTGTGCTCATTTCTGAGTACTTTGTGATAGTCTGATCAATATTCTTCACAATAAAATCCTGTGAGGAATGTAAGCGATAAAGCAGTCAGGCAAAGAGAATAAGATTTAGTATCCCTTTTATTAATCTTCTGCTGAATTTTACTGGTGCAAGGGAAAAGGTGATAACCCGGCCTTCTGTTTGTTTTGCTGTCCAGTTAATCCTTGCATTATCTGAAGCAAGCAAAGCTTCAGAAAGATTAATGAGCCAAACTAAAACAAACCCGAAAGCTCCAAGAACATGAGCCCCAACTTAAAACAGATCTGTCAACAGGAGCAAGCACCACTTTACGTCCCTTAAATGTGGTTGAGTGTTGCTTCTGCTCCTTGGAGAGAAACCTTCTTACACAGCCTTCAGTTTAAACCATACATCATCTTTGGTGGAAAAGATAAACTTCACACAATTCAGAGAAGGGGAGGAGAAACCATAAAGCTACACACCCCAAGTCACAGAATCTCAAATCATTTCCTACAGTGTCCAACCAGAAATCAGGGTTGACGCATCGTGTTATTTTACTACCTGGCAAGATCTCGGATAAAATAATAACAACAACAAATCCAACCCCTACTCCCATACTGAATTTTGGAAATGTTGTCTTTTACGCAAACCGGCGATCTGCATCTACTCTAAACATACATGCAGATGACTTTTCTGTTGCTGGGATTTTTTGCTATAGGGCCTAGATATGCTTGAAGAGCACCATTAGCATTGACCTGTGAAAAACTAATCTGAGTTTGGCTAACCTATGTAAGAAAGGGCTCACATCAAACAGAAATTTAGAACGGTGTCATCAGCTTTACAGTCAATGGGGAAAAAACAAGATTGTTGCCTAATTAGTTTAGGATCAACTGAGGAAGACAGGAATAAAAAAACTGACTTTGCAAATAGAGCTGGGGTTCCTTAGAAAAAAACAATATAGATAGTCCTTGACTTATGACCACAATTGAGCACAGAATTTATGTTGCCAAGTGGGTAATTTGTTAAGTGAGTTTTGTCCCATTTTACAACTTTTCTTGCCACATTTGAAAAGTGAATCACTGTAGTTGTTAAATTAGTTACATGGTTTTTAAGTGAATCTGGCTTCCCCATTAGTTTTGCTTGTCAGGAAGTCGCAAAAGATGACATGACCCCAGGACATTGTAACCATCATAAATATGAACTAGTTGTTAAGCATCTGAGTGTAAATCACGTGATGCTGCAACGATCATAAGTGTGAAAAATGATTGGCATTTTTCTCAGTCACTGTTGTAACTTTGAACGGTTACTAAATGAACTGTTTTAATTCAAGGACTACCTGTATACTTATGTGATAGGTTCACCTGTATCAGCAGAATTTTTATATTCTTATGTGGGAATTTATCAAAGTAATGCTTTTGCATAGATTTTGCCCAGGGTTCAAATCTTCACTGTGGCCATTTTTCAACCTGACAGATAGTATATGACATAAACATATATTCCCACTTGATCTCGTGGAAGCACAATGGAAGAAAAGTTTAGTCAGCATCACTGCCACAGTTTTGTATCTATTTTTAAAACAGATTTCTCACTTCAATTTTTTTAAAAATGAGTATTAATAGATGGTGGGGTGGCTTACTTTTGAAAGAGAGAGAGTACAAAAATGTAGTAAACAAGTTAAACCATTTCTGAGAACAGAGAAAAGGGGGATAAGATATAGATTTAGATTTTATTGAATTTCTATACCGCCCTTCTCCCAAAGGACTCAGGGTGGTGTGCAGCCATATTAAAACACATATAAACCACAAAATTTAAGAACAATTTAAAAACAAATATATAAAATTTGGCCCACGAAATTAAAAACTAACAAACACCCAATTTAAAAATTCCTATTAGGCCAGCCCGGCTTGTTGGAATAAAAGAGTCTTTAGGGTGCGGCGAAAGGTACGCAGGTTGGGGATCATACGGATCTCTAGGGGCAGCTCATTCCAGAGGGCTGGTGCCCCCACAGAGAAGGCTCTCACCCTGGGATCGCCAGTCGATTAAATAGAGCATCTTATTATAGCCCCAAAAAGTAATTCCGTTGGGCAGGAAATTTCACCTCAGAACAGCCTCTGCTGGAAAAAAAAAAAAGCCTATATTATTTGCAGCTAACTGCCATGTTTCTAAGATCAAGGGATCCAAATGAAGTTTAGATGATGAATATAGCACATGAGGGAAAAGATACACAAGAAGGCAGTACCGGAACACTCTCAGTTCTTCTGTTTCACGTGTGTGCAGAAAAACCACCATCACGGCCATGCTCTAACCTCAGCTCCCCCCAGGCTAGCCTTATAATCTCTATGCTTACTAATAGTATAGCTCCTAACACAAAATGCCAGTGAGAAGATCCAAAGTGCCATGTGTTATTTCCAATCATTTGTTTCCAAGAGCAACTGGACTGGGACAAGCATTGAGGCACCACAGACTAAATTAAGCAAATCCCTGCACATCTTAATAGAGTCTTAGCTTTCTCTTCTGCCAGCAAGCATTAATCCAGTTTTACATTATTTTATTGTATGTATACTGCTCCATTCCTCCCTCTTCTTCTTGTCATGCAAGCCACATATTCCCCTGGTTTGGTCTATTCTCCTAAACAGTCCAACATCACAGGATATTGACACACATGAAGTCCAAACAACTTAAAAGCTGCAGTGATGTTGCTTACCTTCTGAGACAAGAACCTACTCAATGCATTTTCAGCAGCTTCCAATTAGCATTCAGGTCCTACTGAATATGCTGGCTTTTATTGTTTAATAATTGTTCTAGGGCCTGGATCCACATATCTCAGAGCTTAATCCATGTAAATCCCAAAGGTGCTTTTTCAAGAGGCCACTGGACTTTCTGGTTTTTCCTTGAAGATGTTTCACTTCTCATCCCAGAAGCTTCGTCAACTGAAAAAGCTTCTTGGATAAGAAGCAAAACATCTTCAAAGGGCCTGGTGGCTCAGCAGACTGATAGCATTGTGATTAACACCAGCTGTCTGCAATTACTGTAAATTCAAATCTCACCAGGCTCAAGGTTGACTCAGCCTTCCATCCTTTCTAAGGTAGGTAAATTGAGGACCCAGTTTGTGGGGGCAATAAGCTGATTTTGTATAAATATACAAAAGTATGAAGGCTATTGCTTAACGCATTGTAAGCCGCCCTGAGTCTCCGGAGAAGGGCGGCATATAAATCAAATTTAAAAAACAAACAAACCAGAAAGTCCAGTGGCCTCTTGGAAAAGCATCTTTGAGACAACCATGACCTGGATGACTGAAAATCTCCATAGATATTTAATCCATGTAAATTACATCATTTAACTTTCTCATTGTATTCCTTGTTCCCTGCACCTACGTTATCACATAGCTGTGAAATGATCAAACTTGAATATTTCTGGTGATTTTTTAGAAGAGACGTAAAGAGACATTTTCCCCACAGGGTATACTCTGGTCTTAATTATTACTGTTTATTTCATCATTGTTAGTTTTTTTTTCTTATTTGTCTTTTTTCATGAGACCATGAAGTCTACCAGGCAAGATTTTCCATCTGGGTCAAACTTGACATTTTGTCTATGGTCTAGAAAAAAATTAAAAGTAATCATGTAAGAGAAGAAAATGGAAAAGCAGGAACAGCAAGAAAGAATTTTTGGCAATTCTACTTGCAAAGAAATGCTACTGAGTCATACCTTATTGCAGTTTAATTTCTGGAAGCTGTGTCAGAACTGAAAAAGAAGAACACATGTGATTAATTTACTAATTTATAATACAGATAAATGAAGTTTCTTTAGACAATCTACAATAAATTAATAAATCCATAATGAGATTTAAAGCTGAAAAGTTAAATCTTAGCTTGATGTAACTAAGAGTACAAGATATACAGAAGAAAACTCCTGTGAGGAGTCTGTTATGCTCTCTGAGTTTAGTTGTTTTCTTGCAATCATTCCCTTACCCAAACTAGGTAACATTATCAGTGCTAGTAAGGAGGTGGGGTCCTTACCCCTCCTTACTAGTACTTATGATGTTACCTAGTTCGTGTAATGTCTACAAGAAAACAACCAACTCAGGGAGCACCAAGGATCCCTCATTTCAACCTTGAGCTACAAATATTTTCTTTATTTAAAACACCTGTTTTAGTTTCTCTGAGCTGGTAATATCAACAATATGTTTTCTATTTCCAGCTGTGCACTGTGGTAGCTCTTGGAAGGAAGAGGAAACAGGGAAACAGAAAAGGAAAAGAGGAATAAGGCAAAAGCGAAGTAAAGTATTTGAATTTGCTGTAATTCAGCAGCAAAGCCCTAGTGAGCATCTTCAGATAAGACTGTGAACAAATTATGTCTGAAACAATGGGAAGCTGCTGTCATGGGCAATGCCATATGGGATAGACTGATAATCTCATATTAGACCATTTCCTAAGAATAGGTATGAATTCTGGGTACTTATTTCTATCCATTTCTCTGTGAGCAATCTAGGCATATCAGTCTACTTTTGAAAGGTGTTCTCCCTGGATTATACAGGCAGAATTTCCAGTGCCTCTTATATCAAGCTTCATTGTTTATGAAATAAATTTTGACATCTCATGGTGGCTTACTATACGCCAAAATACAGCAGAAACATCCCATGAATATGAAGTTAAAACACAATGCTAAAAATAATGCCCAATGATTCCAAAAATTAAGACATCTAAGGAGTTTATTCCCCAAAGGTTCTCTAGAAAAGTTCAGTTTTGGAACAGCACTTACTGATCTCAGACCTCTCATGTCATGGATGTGGATTGATTCTGGTTATAATTGCAGATAGGCTTACCTGTGGTTAAATGAATTATAGTCAATTCAATACATCCAGTTTTCTGGAGTTGCCTGGCACACTGAACCAAACACATGGCTAATTTATTGTTGAGGATATTCTGCAAATATGAAAGAGAGAGTTCCGTTAAGGCATAAGGCTAGAAACCAGGAAACTGAGTTCTTGTCCCATTTTAGGCACAAAGCCAGCTGGGTGACTTTGTACCAGCCATACGTTTCCAGCCCTAGGAAGCAGACAATGGCAAACCATTTCTGAATTCTCGTCTAGAAAACTAATTCAGGCAGTCACCACAAATTAACACTGACTTGAAGACAACCCCTCCCCACAAATAATAATAATAATAATAATAATAATAATAATAATAATAATAATAATCTGCAAATATAGTTTCACTGTTTTATTTCAGCCCTGCTTGTGTGCTTTTAATAGCAGTTTGCCACACAGAACTGTAGCAGGTGAACTACTATCTGTCGAGCTGCTGAAGGTCAGGTGCTGGCTAAATCTCCTTTAATGGAACAGCACTGATTTGCAACCAAACTCCTAGTGCAACTTAACCCCAGGTTGAATCCCGCAGTCATGATGGCCCCCAAAACACACAAATAAAAGAAACCTGACCCCAGCAACCAACCTTTGATAACTTCCTGAGGGCAAACCAAGAGCATGCAATACACCTGCTTTAAGTAAGACAGAATCTGGAGCTCAGAGCCATGTATTGCTGGTACATTGGGAGGTGTTGCTGGGCAACAGCTACTGAGGAGGCTGCTGCACAGGTGGAGGGAAAGATGCCCTTGACCTCTGCAGATGTATTTAAAGACGCTTCAGTTTTCTTTTGGAGGATGTTGCATTGGCAAAGCCTTCATTATTAACAGCAGGTTCTAAATGAGCTGGAGAGGCCACGGGTCAGCAGCGGATAGCAAAAGCATCAGTATGGCCCCAGTGAGTCAGGAAGCCTTCTAGAAGGAGGCTTAATGGAAAAGGTTCCATTAAAAAAATTGCAGGGCAACGATAAAAGAGTATCTCTTGCTTAGTTTTGCCCTCTCAAGTCAACAGTTGACATGGATCATCAGCATTGCTCTTTGCTACTTCAAAGATATAAGATATATAAGAGCCTGGATAGCTCAACAGACTAAGCACTGTAATTTAACACCAGCTGTCTGCAATTAAAGTAAGATCGAATCTCGCCAGGCTCAAGGTTGACTCAGCCTTCCATCCTTTCTAAGGTAGGTAAATTGAGGACCCAGTTTGTGGGGGCAATAAGCTGACTTTGTATAAAAATATACAAAAGTATGAAGGCTTAACGCACTGTAAACCGCCCTGAGTCTCCGGAGAAGGGCGGCATATAAATCAAATTAAAAAAAAAGAAAAAGATGAGAGGGTATTTTGTGCACTATGCTACAAGTAGCAGTCCTCAGTCCTCTAGCAGTAAAGTACAGGTAGTCCTTGACTTACGATCATAATTGGACCCCAAGACTTAACTCAAAATTTACAGTATATCAACATTTCTTCAAACGTTCATGGACCCCCTGTGATGACATAGCAAACCCCCAGGGATCCACAAACCACTGGTTGACGACCATTGGTCTAAGAGATGAACTTAAGAGGTGCAACATGGGATCCTTTCTAGAATCAGAAAAAGTGGGAACAGTCTCAGCTGAGTTAGTATGGAGGTCATTATTTTTCCCCTCTAAAGTGAAATGCCTCATATCTCCTTTTTTTAAAGTGTGTGTGTGTGTCGTGTGCGTTAGCTTATGCAGTGATATGCCTTCTTTTGTCACAACCATCAAAGTCCTTCAGCACTGAAGAAGTTCTCTAATGTGAACCTTGTACTTTGAACAGTTACACAGGGAGTCCTCAACTAACAACAGTTTGCTTAGTGACCGTTCGAAATTACAACGGCACTGAAAAACATGATCTTTGACCATTTTTTACACTTATGACCATTGCAGCATCCCCAATGGTCACATAATTTACATTCGGAAGCTTGACAACTGACTCACATTTATAACGGTTGCAGTGTCCCGGGGTCATGTGATCGCCTTTTGCAACTTTCTGACAAGCGAAGTCAATGGGGAAACTGGATTCATTTAACAACCGTAACAACCTGTAGTTTAACAACTGCAGCAATTCACTTAAATGTGGGAAAAAAGGTCATAAAATGGGACAAAACTCACTTAACAAATTTCTCACTTAACAACATAAATTTTGGGCTCAATTATGGTTGTAAGTTGAGGACTACCTGTATTGTGGGGGTGAAATGCTCCCGGTTCGGACCGGATCGCCCGATCCAGTAGCGATGGCAGCGGGTAGTTCGGAGAACCGGTAGCAAAAATCCCTGTGCCCCCCCCACCATGCCCAGCTGAGCCGCATGATCTTCAGAGGCTTTTTTTTTTTTACTTTTAAAAGCATTTTTTCTACAACCTCTTCCGACGAAAAAATGCTTTTAAAAGTAAAAAAAAAAAGCCTCTGATGATTGCACGGCTCAGCTGGGATCATCAGAGGCTTTTCAAAGCATTTTTTTCTGCAACCTCTTGGCCGAAGAGGTGGTAAAAAAATGCTTTGAAAAGTCTCTGAGGATCCCAGCTGAGTTGCCTGATCGCAAGAGAAGCTTTTCAAAGCATTTTTTAAAAAGCCTCTCTGACGATCCCAGCAAAGTTGCCTGATCGTCAGAGAGGCTTTTCAAAGCATTAGAAAAAATGCTTTGAAAAGTTAAAAAAAAAAAAAAAGTTGGCGATGCCCACCCAGTCACATTACCCCCCCACCAAGCTACGCCCACAGAACCGGTAGTAACAAATTTTACATTTTACCCCTGCTGTATTGCATGATCTTTTCCAAACTGATTTTTGTGAAAAGAAACAATGAATAAGCCATGTATTTTATCCCAGGTCCCTTGCATCTTGGGGATAGAACTACTTCAGGTAGAAGTAGTTGAAGGATTGACTCATTTGTTTCCAGCAGTGATTGCATTTTTTAAGCCAACACAAAGTGGTGTCTCTATAACTACATATATAGCAAATATACTGTATTTGGGAAAGTCTTCTGTGTGGTCTCACCATTCTATATGATTAATCATTCAAGTCAACAGTCAGATTGGTCATCCAAAGGCCAGTTCTCTTCCCCTTATGAACTTCAGCCTTCTGAGATAGGACTGTAGGAGTTTCCACATCTTTAATATGCATGTGACAGACAGATATTTGGGAACTTAAATATTCCCGTGATTGCATCAAAACTGAAGTTGATATCTGTGCTTTGTTAATACAATATTATACCACATAAGATTCCAGCAATATTTCAGGTCCACTTAGTACAAAGAGAATTCTCTTGTTCCTCCAGTGGGGGGTACAGCTGAATAACTAAAATCCTGTCGCCGCACATGCATATTTTTTTCACTTTGCAGCATCCAGTGGGTAAAACAGGGATAAACACCACCAAGGTTTTAGGAGCCATGGTGGCGCAGTGGTTAGATACAGTACTGCAAGCTACTTCTGCTAACTGCTGGCTGCCAATAGTTCAGCAGTTCGATTCTCACCGGTTCAAGGTTGACTCAGCCTTCCATTCTTCTGAGGTCGATAAACTGAGGACCCAGATTATTGGGGGCAATATGCTGACTCTGTAAACTGCTTAGGGAGGGCTGTAAAGCACTGTGAAGCGGTATATAAGTCTAAGTGCTATTGCTATTTTAAGTAAATATATATCATTCTCACACATAATACCTTTCAGCTAATGCATCAAATGGTAGAGTACCAAATGAGATGACTCATTCCTAGTGCATGGGAACATAAGCACGGGTTTTGCAAATTTGTTATGCCAATGCCTGACACACACATACACACACGTGCTGGTTACTAGCAGTGTTATACTGCAACCCAAATGGTATTAAGTAGTGCAACTGCTCAAAGTTGTTTTATTGTCACTGTTCGATGATTGTGTGTGTGTGTGTGTGTGTGTGTGTGTGTGTGTGTGTATTGCTGAAATATTGAAGCTTTAATAACAATATTGCTGAAATATTGAAGCTTGAATAACAGTCTCTATATCTGTTCTTCTAAAAACCAACCAGTCTAGGAAATGCTGGCTGCTATGTGCTAAAAACTACTTCTGCTTCTGCTGTCAGTTGTAGGGTAGAGTGAGGGAAGTAAAAACCCAAATGATTGGGAAACAGCCTTTATAGAAAGTATTCTGTGTTTTTTATGTTGCAGAACTTTCTTTATTAGGCCTACTGGAAACCTGGGGAGGATGTTTTCGCCTTCCCAGAGGCTCGAGGAAAGTCTCCAGAGCCCAGGAAGGGCAAAAATGCTCCCCCTTCCATGGTGCAGGAGGCCGACTAGGCCACACCCACCATGGCCACGCCCACACAGCAACGGGACAGAAAACCCATTGCTAAAATTTTTGAAGTCCAGTCCTGCCTTTATCTCCCAAACATTCAAGTTCCCAGCAACCACCTAAACAGCTGGTTGGTTAAGAGGCCCAGACCATGCTGAGGAAGAGGATATAGAACAGGGAGAGGCGAGGTGATCCCACCATAATCTCCAACAGCCCATCAAAGTTTGATAAACTTTAAAATGTTTGTAATATTGCTTTGGAAAGTAGTTATGTGAGTTGGGATACTCCTGTGTTTCATCCTTTCCATCACAAATACATTCCCCATTGCTCATAGTTCCCTTTTTTGAGCTATGGGGGAATTGTGTGTGCTTTCTCTCTTTGCATATATGTATTTTTACATCCTCATGTACGAGTACGCATAGATGTGTCTATGTGCGCAATATATCTTTGTTATATGGAAAGAATATAAGCCTGTATGTGTGCTTGCAGAATGTAGGCCTTGGGTACAGAAGCACTGACTATCTTTTCCTTAGTTTTCCTTATTCCAAAAAATAGAAGGGCCCAGGATTAAAACTAAATGTAATTTAATTACATATAAACTTAATTTGAAATCAAACTACATTGAATAATACAATAAATATGGCTTTTCCTCATGTTTTGGTATTTTCCCCTTCTATGATATAAGCATTACAATTTTCGGGAAACCTTTAGAATTGCCCTGGGAGCTGTGCCAATGGCTTTCTGGAACCTATATGCAACTCTGTCATCTCCTGTTCTATGTTT